AGTAAAAATTAAAGCAGTGCTTTGAATATAGCTCACTGTTAGAGTACTTCCCTTGCTTGAATGAGACCCTAATCTTAATTCCAAGCATTGAAAAAAGCCAATCAATCCTTCTGTGGCTAGATTCAGCAATCAGATTCTATTATCATTGTCTTCCATGTCCGTATTACTAGTAGACATTGTGTTTGAACTTTCCTTGAAATAAGATCCTCCAACACATGTTACATATTGACAGAGATTTTCTAAAGTTGTACTGTCTGTTCTATACCAATAGGATAGCGCCTAGCCACAAAAAGCCCTGTTTTTAAATTACCTGAATTGGAAAATTAAAATTTTAATTGTTCAGTCTTACTAGCTATTTTTCAAATACACAATGATCTTGTATGTGTCTAGAAGTTATCATGTGGGAGATGTAAATATTGAACATGTTATTTTACCACATTCTATTGTGCAAAGCAGTTGAGATTTTGGTATGCTTGTGTTTGAAACAATTGGAGAAAGACAAGTTTTAAATAGATAAAAGTGAAAATATATCATAGTAGCTGAAATTGCCTCCCTGTTGGCTAGCATTCACAGTGCCAGAAGGTGTTATGCAACTGGTAGGGCGAAAAAGACATCAATGGCCTTCAGGACCTGGACTCTGCATACTATAACACCAACCTATCAGGCAAAATGTGCCCACTTGTGCAATGGTAGCATGACTATTATGGGGTGATTAGCTTTTTTTTCTGATTGGAGTTAAGGCCTGCTGCACAGGAAGGAACATTATGCTTGGTACTATATTCTTCATCAAAAGCCTATGGCTGAGGAGATCATAGGCCCTGGGGTAGAACCCAAAAATGTGATTTTGCTAAAGTATCATGCTGTAAAATTGCCTTCTAAACATTTGTGTTTATACCATAGACTGGGGATTCTCACAGTCTTGGTCAGAGGAGATTCTTTTGCAGTAGGCAGCAGTCTGTGGAGAGACAGAAGTGGTCAATGTGCTGAGAATAAGTGACTGACAGTTCAGTGCTAAATGAGACATCTTTCTCACCTGCCTCCCAACAATGATCAGGGAGCATCATGACAGAGAAGGTGGAAAGACTGTAAGAGATGCATGATGGATGGGGAGAAGAGCTATGAAATGCAAACTTTTGGACTTGTCCTGGGTATCACGCTCGTGAACCCACATGAACTATGGTTCTCTGCACCAAACTGGAACAAGATTAGTCCAGCCAAAATTCTGGCATTGAAAAGGGAAGTGCCCTCCGCACACCACCCCTTACTGAGGTGGTTATTGATAGTTGCAAGGGGAGGGAGAATTATCATTTTTATGTTTGGCCACTGGTAGATTTCTCATGTTACAGTGGATAACCTCACACGCATAGTCACTCAGGCAGGACAAATTTGACTTAAAAACAAAAACAAAAAATAAGTAAAAAATGAAGTTGTGAGGGTGCCATGCTGAAGATGAATTGGGAAGAGTTAGAGGGGTGAAATAAGGGGTAGATATGATCATGTTTCATTTTCTACATGTATGACACTCCCCAAAATAAAGAGAAATTAATATTAAAACAAAAAAACAGATCATAGGATCTTAAATGAAATAAGTATTTCATGGAAGCATACAGTCATAGAATTTTATAAAAAGCACACAATAAGCAAATTATTTATTGAAAGTCTGACCACTTTGAGATCACTCATACACACACACACACACACACACACACACACACACACACACACACACATACACACACACGCACACACACACACACACACACATGATTTATGGAGTAATTATTTTTTATAAAAAGTACTTCAAGCAGATTTTTAGGTAGAAAAAGGTCTTTCCCTGCTTTATATTCAGAAAAGCCTCTTTCTTCCCAGCTTTCACTCATTCTAAAGGCATCTCTGAACTGTGCTCATACAGCACTGCTCTTACAAGATGCTTCAGGGAACAGGAATTTACTCCCTCTACTTAAGCCAGAAGAATAACTAGGAAGCTTGCTGATTTAATTTTGGAGAAAGGTCTTAAGGCTTTGCCTCTATTTGCAAAAAAATGTCCTCAGGGGTTGAGTGACTCACCAATCCCAGATATACACCTATAGGCACACCTTGTTAGCATGCAGCAGCCTATCACAGCCTGAGGTCATAACTTCTGACATGCTTCTATTCCCCAACTGTTGGATGCTTGGATGTCTTTTCCTTTTAATTTTGAAATCCAAACTAGGAACATTTTGTTTTAAGGCACCCTTGAGCATTCCTACCTGGAACTTGACAATAAATGATCCTGCCACTTACAAATTCTGTTACCAAAGGGGGCTTCCATTCTAAACCTGTTCTTTGGTTTCTAATTTATAAAAAAGTTTCTTTTGCATAGGAGTCAACTGTATTGCTACTTCAGAATAAAATTCAATAATAATGACATATGTATTAGGGGTGATAATTTAAATAGACAATTGATAGAAACTCTCTTTTCTGTAGTTTTCATACTAATGGGAATGTTAAATTCTAGCATGAGCATATAAGTCAGAAAGGAATCTGAAAGAGGATCCCTTTGAACAAAATGATCAGCTTTCCTCCTTGTTATTTAGAATATATAATTAGTCTAAATAGGAAATAAGAGTTTTAATCTTAAACAAAAATTTATTTAACCTATTTCTCCAAATCACAGTGGTATATATTAAACATATGTAGACCAAGCCTTAATAGAAATTGAAATGATCAATATTATAAAAATATGTAAAAGCTTAATATTTTCTGACAGATTTACATGAACATACATTTCAAAAGTCCTGCTTTGTCTTCTTGTAAAGATATGCATAAATACTGAAGCAAAGTTTTGTGTTCATATATAACATCTACAAAGTGAGTACTGTATGAATGTTTTGTGCTGAATGGTATGTTTACAAAAATTACCTAATCTTTTAAATTAAAGCAATGCACACTTACAAAAGAAGAATCAAAAGTGCTGATTTATCCTTATTTTTCATATGTGAAGAAAATGGTGATATTTTTAACCAGGACGCATATTTGAAAGAAAGTCTCAAATACGGAGTGTAATTTTCCAGTTCAACTGATTCTATACTAGATTTCCCTTGAAAGGCAGCTGATTCAAATTTTCCTAACCACTCAATAATGCTCCCAACAGATGGGGAAAGCACTTGAAGCAAACGATTCAACTGCTTAACAATTATTTGCAAATAATACCCCAACCTGGTTGTAAGTTCAAGCCAAAAATATGCTATTAGCATCCAAACACCTTCCTTTCCAAAACTTAATTACTTACTCATACTGAAGAAAATGGAAGATTTTTTGGCTCATTTCATTGTATTATAAGTTATCTGTGGGAATTCACTGTTATATCTGCAAAGTAGGTCAAGGCAACTTACAGACCTACTGTTGGAGAAAAAATATGGTATATGGTGCAACTTGTCTTCTTCACAACCCTTTGGTTCAAGTCATGGTATTCATTCATTCATTATTAATTAATTACTTAGTAGTGTTGCACTTAAATCTGGAGCCTTGAGCATGTTAGAATGCCTATTATAGGAAAGTAGATGGAGAGGAGAGAAGAAACACAGATCTTTAAAGGTGTAAGAAGGAAATGAAGATTCAAGTATAAGTTCTGGATAGAATTCTTGTCCTCTTATGATTAAGATTATTTGTTCAAAATAGGAAATTATTGTGCATTCATTTATGTTATAAAAAACTAGATATTTATAGTGACAAATTAAAAATAAAGCCAATGACCTTTATTTATGTGCAAAAGAACTGTCTGAATTTCATTGAAAATTCATATATATATATATATATATATATGTGTGTGTGTGTGTGTGTGTGTGTGTGTGTGTGTGTGTGTGTGTAGGTTATGTGTAAGTGTATTTTTAAGTAAGCAAATTGTGTGCTTTGTGAGTGTTTAATGCATGAATATTGATGGTGATGATGATGATGGTATAGAGAGCATATAAAATCACTCAATTTTTCTTTGCACAAGATCATTTCAGAAGTTGGCCTTCTGAATTTAGCATCATTACTAATTGGCTCAAGTATTGACTTAGGTGACCTTTACCAACAACCTTAATTCAAATACTAAATTTAGCAGAATAATGTTCTCTAACATAGTTCAGTTGAGGTTATTCAGCTTTTGTTGCAGAGCACTTAAGAACCCCCTGAAATAATGAGAATAATAGAACAAATCACTCGGTGCCTGTTACTGAGCTTCAACAATTTCTAATTTAAAGTAGATTGAATTTTGTCTAAATCAGTGATCCTCTAACAGGGTCAACTATCCCCCAAGTAGGCATGGTAAATATTTATAGATGGTTTTAGGCACCAAAAGTAGTTTGATTACGTGTGGGGAATGCTAATCGTCTAATGAATAGTGGCCAGAGGTGCTGGGAAATATCCTAGAATGATAGACATCCATTTCAAGAAACTATACAGTACAAACTATATAGGCCCATTGAAATACCTTAGATATAGTTCTACCATACCCAGTCTGAGTCTCAAATTTATTCTTCTGTGGAATCAAAAATTTCATCCAAAATTGTAGCACAGATCTAGAATATGAAGAAGTTCTGAATAATTTTTAAAACATAGGTTTGTTAAGAGTTTTGTATTTCATAAGAAACTCCATAGTGCTACCTTTGTCCAGACCTTTATATTTCAACAATATTATTTAGTGAAAATAACATATTTAGTGAAAATAACACTAATTTTATAGGAGTAGAAAATAACAGCAATTTTATAAGAGTGGAATATAAACCTCTATGCTATGGGAGGTCTGTGAATTTTTTTCTGGGAACAGCCAAAATGTAAACATTTAATCTTCATGTACCATCACATTTCTACAGCAATTACTTAAATTTCTGTTGTAGTTTCAAAGCTTTTACAGCAATGTGCCAATGAATGTCATTGTTATGTGGTAACAGTACATTATTTATTTAAAAAAATATTGGGAGCTATAATCTATTCCATAGACTATGGCTTGCCTTACTTGATATAAACTATCTAGGTTTGTTGAGACTAATATATTCCATTGATCCTGGAGAGATGGTCCAGGATTTAAAAGTACTTGCTGCTGTTGCAGATAACTGGAGTTCATTTCCAAACACCCACTACATGCTACCCAAAACTGCCTATAACTCTGGTTGTAGAAGTTCTGATCACTCTTCTTCCTTGAGCACCTGCCAACAGATACATACATACATATGAATAAATAAAAATTATATATATATAATTGATATCTCACATATATATGTCTCCATTATTTTTATCAAGGGAGAAAATGTTTTCTTTCTTTAAAGTAAACCAGTTTTTCAAAGATATGCTAGCTTTTATACTCTATTTTATTCTTTCAAAGACCAATACTTGGCAAAAAATAAAATAAAGACATTAGACCAAAGTATTACACCTCAGAGATATAAGCAGCAAAATGATTGAGTGAATAAACAAAATTGTCTATAGACTCTTATTCAATGGCATAAATATCTTGATAACTAGGCAGGGCATCTTTGTCACTATCAACTTTGTATTTCATCCACCAAACTTTCCCAATACAAAAATCAAGTACTTACAGTCTAGATAGTTTTGGCCACATGTAGTTTTCACTAGTGCTTTGCATTTCACAGGTACAATCTAATTTGTTTTATTTTCTCAATGTCTTAGCTTCTGGCTTCTTGCAAGTTATCAAATATTATTTACTAAATAAATGAACATATTATACCAAGATGGTAAAAATATATTTGAAGTCATGTAGAATTTAAGATTAGATATTTCATGAATACAAAAGTAACAAATTGGCTTATGTAGACAAAGGTTTCAAACAAGAAATCTTCAAATCTAAATGTGGAAAGAGGGGGGAATTTACACTGAGTTCAACTGCTCTTTGAATTTAGTGGCTTCTCTATATCATGAGTAAACACATGCAGTATTTACTAACACTTAAACATACTGTGTTATATCCTGGGGTTAGCCAAGTCTAACAGCATGGTAGACTTACATAGATTTTAAGGTTGCAATCTAATTCCAGGTGCTGGAACATCATAATAGCCTGCAGTAAACCATGCATGCAGGCAGCCCTAAACAGGCTGCTAATTCCTGAGTATCTAAATATGTGATAATTTGTGAATGAATCACCATGCCCTCCATAGAACTTGGCAATTGGATCAGTGCTTCTGCATCTGGCATTGTACACAATTTGCATATTGTGAAAGTAAAGCACTCTGCAATCTCTAAGCCCATCTCATTACAGCATGATGAGCTCATAGCCATGTGCTTTCCATCTTTAGTTCTAATTTCAGGGCAGCCATAGTTAAACCTAAGGACATACATACATACATAGCTTATGGATAATTATTGGCTAAACTGTTTTAGCTAAGTAAACTTAAGATGTTAAATTAAGAACAGCTAAACTTACTAGAGTGGAAAGAAGGACAAGGAAAATTTTCAGTATCTGTTTTTTTACAAACTGAAAACTTGCATAAGAATGCTTGAATTACTTTACACAAGAAAAGTTCTAGGAATAACTATTAAAATTCAAAATACCTTCATAATTTGCATCTCATTTACATAAAAAATCTGAAGCTTCACATGATCATGGGAACAATGTGACAAAATGTGTTTACAAAATCTAAAAATAACTATTTTCTTTACAGTTTAAGAGATCCTTTAATACAGTTCTTCATGTTGTGGTGATCCCCAACCATAAATTTTTTTTGAGTTACTACTTTATAACTGTAATTTTGCTACTGTAATGAGTTATAATATGAATATGTGATATGCAGAATATTTGATATGTGACCCCAAAGGGGGTTGTGACACACAAGCTGAGAAACACTGGTTTAAGATGAAGCTTGATTTCATTGTTACTTAAAACCAAGAACAAATGAGCATTTAGAAGTGGATTTGTAAAAGTTTATTTATCATGTATATTTAAATTTGAGTCAACAGAAAAGTTTACACGCTTTTCATAGTAATTGATATCAATTATATAAGTCACAAAGGGACACAAATACAAGAAACATGATTACCATGTATTGTCCTTACTACTGAAATTCTGTGATGTCTTTTTTTGCAACAATTTATATAAAGATTTTTTTTTGAAAATTAATATTTTAAAATCATACACAAAGCAAGGATGTGGGCTTTAATACTGAGATACCGTACAAATTTACAGGTTCCATAGTATTCACCCAATTTATACATGATATTTTTAAATTAGAATTTGATCCTAACAGATTTTTTATGAATACTAGTTTTAATGTGTTGTTTGATTATGAATTATTTTGAGCATATTCCATAGCATGGACAAAGGAAGCACAGTAAATGTAAACACACACACACACACACACACACACACACACACACACACACACACAGTGACTCCTAACACACATGAGAATTCTAACAGTGTGATCCAGTGTATCTCTGACTCTTTTGTCTGCTCTTGTGACTCTTTTTGTCCTATTGGCTTGCTTTGTCTAGCCTCAATATGAGAATGTTAACCTCGTCTTATTATATCTTGTTTTGTCCTGCCTGGCTGTCATCTCTTGGATACCTACTCTGTTTTTGAAGGGAAATAGAGGAGGAGTGAATCTGAGCAGAGAGGAGATATGAGGGGACCTAGGAAGAGTGGAGTGAGGGGAAACTGTGGTTAGGATACATTGTATGAGACAAGAATCTATTTTCACACAAAAACTGTTCACACACACACGAAAACAACATAGATAAAAGCACACATAAACACACATAATACAAATTATTTTTAACCACATATTTTAGAAATAGAAAGTAGAACGTTTCTGGCCAGGTAGCACATAACTGAATTTATACTGATGGGTTAGTTTTAATTAAATTAATTAGGCTTCATATATTATCTATAAACCAAAAGTGTGAATAGGTTGTTCAACTGCTTTGCTTTTTAATTTGATGTTTTATAACCTTAGAAAAGCTAATTGCATTATTTCCTAGAGAGGATTATTGTGGAAATAAAATGAAAATACACATTTACCATTTAATACACATTATAGCATAAAGCATGAGTTAAGCAGCATTGGTATATGATTCATGATGCTAACTAAATTTTATGAAAACCTAAACTGAATTACTTTTTTAAAATTAATTACACCTCATAATAAGGTAACCACTGATTGGCCTACTAGAATGCATGAAAAATGTTATTGGTATTTTATCCTACCTCTCATATCTGTGTTCCTCTGTTTGAACTCTATTGTCATAGAGGATCTAGATGTGATATTTTAAAACTACTATTTATAATTCATGGTTATAACAGAAAAAGATTATTTTCTATAGTCTTAGCAATAACCAGTGAAAGATTATTGTCATACCAATCATGAAGGCCAAAAAAAATTGGAATTGTCATGGTTTCAATTAATAAAGGAAACATATTTGAAAAATGAAAATACAAGTAACTACAGTTAGAACTTATTACTATAATGATTATCTTCAATATGTTTCAAATTTACTAAAAATAATCTCTTCACTTTTTTCTTCAGTATTTCACATTCTGTAATTTTTGTCTAGTATATTATTCTAAAATTTGTAGCTTAAATTTACTAGTTGGGTAAAATGAATTTTCTTTAACTAAATAAGTGGTATCTTAAGTGAAACCTCTGCATACTGACATTTTACAAATGTATTCAAGGTTACTGAAAAAATTCAATGGGATCTAGGCTTGGTTGGGGTGCATTTCAGGAAGTAATCACCATGGAAAGATTACATTTATTCAAATATGCACTGTTAATAAATATTTAATTTAGAATTTTAGTCCTGGAATAAAAATGATCATTAATAATTAAGAAAGAAATAGAATTACCATATGACCCAGATATATCCAATATATACTCAAAAGACTTTTAATCTTAGTACAGAGATACTTGCAGATCCATGTTTATTGCCACTTTATTCATAATAGCCAAAAATTGGAAACAGTCTATATGACCATCAACTGACAGATAATAGAAATGTGGTCCATATAAACAATGGTATATTTAGTTATAAAGAAAAATGATATCATAAAATTTGCAGATAAATAAATGGGACTGGAAAAAATTATACTGAGTAAGATCAGTCAGGCTCCAGAAGACAACAACACACACACACACACACACACACACACACACACACACACACACATTCAATCCTTGTGTTTCACATGTTTAGTGTGAAGTACATGCAAGAGTCAAGAAAGCAGCAATGGGCCTGTATTTGGGAGTATATTCAACTGCTTTCTTGGTTGAATTTGAGACATACTCCATAGAAAGGAATTCATGTCTAGTACTGTAAACATAGTCAATTCCCACATTTAGGGAAGCCATTTGCCCTAGATGAGAACTTACTGGCATTGTTTTGCCAATGGTCATACTGTCAAACCACTTTCTAGCTATTTATCTTTCTCTTTATTGAGACAACATTTTTACTTCAGAAGGTAAAGCCTAATGCAGACACAAATAACTGTGCAAAATTCTGACAACATTGAGTACGAGTGCCCAGCCACAGATAGAATATCTACAATAATCCTGAAACACCCACACATTCATGGCAGGTTCAGGGTACACTGAAAAAATGGAAGAATATAAGAGCCAGAAGATGGAGTGATATAAAATGCTGACCTCCAGACATGGCATGGCTATTGCATACCATGAATGCTTAGCAGCTGTGCGTATGAACACAAAATCTCCACAAGATCAAGAGAGTTAAAAGAGCTAATGATAACTGATGGCTGCAGAGGGAAGAATACTCACTTTTCTTTGGGGAAATGGCAGCCATAGATAGGGTGCCCAGGCCCCAGTGGTTAGCCCTACATATCTCCAAGATTCCTTTCCTATTACTAATGTTCTGTGGGGTATTTTTGCATTTTCCCTTTTTTGTTCTGTTTCAGGATCCCATCTTGGGTACCAACTACACACACACACACACACACACACACACACACACACACACACACACACACCTTCTTTGGTCTCTTTTTATAATGATAGTTTCACATTTTTTTTATAACATTGAGAGTTTTGAGGAACATTAACCAGGCATTTTGTGCAATGTCTTTCAAATTAATTTTGTCTGATTTTCTCATATCACAATTACAAGGCAGTATCAATTTCTGAGCGGAAAGCCATGGAAGTTAATGGAACCATCTTTTTCTTGTTTTAAGGACAAGAGTGACTTCTAAGCTCTTTATATGCTACATGTGAAACTGACAAAGTTTTAAGTAAATTCTAAGGCATGAAAATGATTGATTTTGTGGGTAAGTAGAGATTAGAGATTGGTACACCTAGTAGATCATTTCTTCTTCTCAAATATCCAGTTCACAACTGTTTGAAGAATGGGAAGTTGACCTTAAAAATATATTTGATATATTTCACTTATTGTGTGTTATGTACATGGGTAAATATGTGTCATGGCATGCAAATGTACGTCAGATGACAACTTATAGGAGTGTTTCTCTCCTCCCACCATGTGTATTCCAGAAATCAAATTTAGATCATCAGATTTAGAAGCCTTTATTAGCTGTGCCACTTCACAAACCCAACAGCTGACATTTTAGACAAGTATCATTTATTTGAAGGGGTTTCCCTGATACTTTTTGTTATCTTAATTAACTTTTATATACATGAAGAGTTGTAATAGTGGAAAATATTTTAGCCTTGGAAGGAAATTGTCTGGTTCCAAAAAGTAAAAACCTTCGAAGACGGTGTATCATAGAAAGAAGCATAATTGATATCAAAACTAATATTTAATTACCTGTTATGCAGTATTTATAACATGGTTTGATAATTTATAGTAATGCCTCATGTAAGAATTTATGTTCTTTGTATCTTAGCCAGATATAATTTCATAAAGGAGAATATCAAAGAACAAGTAAGATAAATGCCCCAAACAAAGTCTACATCAGGTTATATTATATTTAAATTTAAAGATCGTCTAAACTAAAGAGAAAATGAGACAATCTTGAAATAATTCAGAGGAGAATATAAACATCTTACCTAATGAGAAGCAAAGATATGTTTTCTCAAATACCACATAAATAAAAATGAGAGCAGAGTAAAAGTCGTAGTGTTTAGATTAAATGTGTACATATATATACATATATGTATTTATATTCACATATATTTATATACATATGTATAAATACATATATTTATATATCCACCTATATACATATCCTTAGCATTTATATTATTTGTACATTATTTCTCCTGCATATATGTATGTATGTGTACCACATGCATGTCTTTTGCCTGCATCAGATCTCCTGCAACTGAAGTGACAACAGATGGTGGTGAGCTATCATGTATGGGGTCAGAACATAACCGGGGCCCTCAATGAGAGTATTTCTCTTAGCTGCTGAACCATCTGTCTAGTCCCATCCCTAGAATTTTATATTATGAAATATTTCCCTTCAAAATTGAAATATATGTAGGGTATTCCAGAGAAACAAAATGAACAGAATACATGGTATAATTTATTTGAAGGAAATGTTAAAAAGGGAAGTAGTGTAGATGAGAAACTTGTGTTAACACCACACACACACACACACACACACACACACACACACACACACACACACCAAACAAAGAAAGAAAAACAAGCAGGTATATGTGATGGCTCAGTGTATAGTAGTTCTTGCCACCAAGCAAGAGGATCTGAGCTGATCCCCAGGACACACATTGGGAAAAAAAAGTTATCCTCTGACCTCCACTAGGTACACACACACACACACACACACACACACACACACAACCAAAATAGACAAGCAAGTGCAATGGCACTGAGCTTTGCCTTCAAGCCCTCTTTAAAGTATTTATTTGAAAACATTTTCTCATTTATTTGCCCAAGTGAGCATGAACTCAGTCTGTAGCCTAGGCAGTCCTATAGATTTGAAACACCCATCCTCAGACTTCAAAGTACCTGGATTTCAATCCAATGCCACCAGGGACAACTTTATCTTTCCTTATTATTAATTGAACTAACCATTAGCATTTTGTTCAAAACAGTACTAATAATACATTTGATAATTTTAAGTGGTCATTCAATGAAAGAAATGACAGATATGATAAAAGGGATAGGAAAATTAAAGTAGAAATACCTTGTTACTAAGGTATTGCTACTCCTTGCAAAACATATCATATTATTTCAAAGAGATTTCCAATACTTATAAATGTATATTGAAAATATAGGTAACCCTTACAAACTGAATGTTCATAAAAAATCTTCAGCCCTGATCTACAATGAGGATATATTTTGAATCATGTGACTAGCTGACATACTAAAATGTTAAAACCTGGGTCTACAGAGCGAGTTCCAGGAAAGGTGCAAAACTACACAGAGAAACCCTGTCTCAAAAAAATAATTAATTGAATAATGGCATTTAAAATAAACATATAATATTGAAATATCAAATAGATGCTATCACCTTTTTGAGTAAAATAATTATTTCCTTTAATATTTAACATAGTATTTTAACTGCAGTCACGAAAAGAATATTTATGTTAGAAGTAATACAGCAAATGTGAAAATGTTTTATATGTTACAGCATAAAACAGGTAAGGGAATATATTAGAAACCATAATTTTCAATGTATTGAAAATAGACATTAATAAAGTTGTATTTCAAGAAAAATCATGCAATGTTAAATTAAAAGGTGAAATATGTATGTGAACATGAAACTTTGAAATATACATAAATAATTTCTAAAATGTCCACAGAAAGTACCTAATTGAAATGATACTCTAGTGGCATAAGCTATAGACAGTTCAATGAACAAAATGTGATTTGGTTTTTTTTTAATAAGAGAGATATGAAAAATGTCTCTCATGTTTTATTGTTCCAATATGCAAGTAAAATAGCCACTGGAGCCGTATCAATAGGAAACAGGGTACAATAACTGGGTTCAAATAGGTCAAATGACCAGAGAGTGAACAATCTGAACACCTGAAAGTCTGAATTTTTTATCATAATGTCATAAATAGATTGCAATGTACTCAATACAGAAAATGAGAAATACAATTCAATAGAAAAACATTTTAAAAGGAACAAAAGTCAAAAGATCTTTGTAGAAGAATGGTTGTGTAAGACTGTAAATGGAGTGGTAAAATTAGAATTATCACTTTACAGCCCCCAAGGCAATACCAAAGAATACTAAAACTACAAGTTTTACAATTTCTAGGAAAGGTATATTTGCCTAGAGATAATGTAATCACTTTCTAAATAATTGATAAATAAATATGAGTAAAAATGGAAATTCTGTCCTATGCAAGTAATGAAACCTAGTTTCCTAACCTGACTCAATGTTTCTCTTGATCTGACAAAAATGTGTTATGTATAAACTTCACTTGGAAAATATTTTTGTTCAGAAAAATATTCTGAATCTCATATATATTGGCTCTACCTTTAATAATCAAAGTCAGAAAAAAGCATCCATGGACTGGTAACTAAACAGAACATAATATCCTCTCAAAGGGGAAGAATGAATGTTGCCTTAGGTTGTATGGTGGAAAGGGAAGAGATGGCAATGATTAAATAAAAAAACATAGGGGAAAACTTTAAGAGATGATAAACCTATTTACTGATTTGACTGTGGTTTCTATTTCAGGAGTACATACATGTGACAAAAAACCATATAAGTATTTACATGCATCTTATTACAAGCTAATTTTATCTCTGTACAGCTTTAAATGAAGATCATAAGGGTAGACTAGGTTGTACTGAAATAAACAAAATTTTTAAAATGGGGCAAAATTAATGAAATAAGTTTTCCTCTCTCAAACATAGCTAGATACATGTTCAGGCAGTGTTCCAGAGGATCCATGTCCAAATGCTAGTAAGTTTTTCCAATCTGTTAGACTTTGTGGCACTTCTAAACACATGTGTCCCTATGAGCACAAGAAGAGCATAAGAGAGTAGTGGTGAGTCCTGGCAAGTGCATGCTTTTGTCTACTAAGAGACATATTTCAAGTTTGATTACAGTTCATTGGTCAGAAATAGTTATATAACAGTACCTTATTCTGATATACCAGGGAAGCAGAAACTTTGATAAACCAGAGTAAAGACAGACTACAAATTGGTGCAAGTTACTAACTTCAACACACATTGTTACCTCTGAAGCTGGAATGAACAGGGCTACAATCGGCACACCATATGCAGGGTAAATTTGATACACTGGCCAGCCCTGTTTCATATCTTGAGTTGGAAAATCCTATATACTTAAAATACATAAAATATTTCCTGCTCTATTTCATACAAAATGTTTAAAAGAACCCTTCAGAATGTATTAAGTTGGCAACTTGATTCTGGATTTTGCCTTATTTTATTTGAGGAACATTAATGGAAGTTCAATGAAGAAAGTTTTGAGTGTAAACCAGAAATGAACTTAGATAAATTAAAATCTAATATCAGTGTCAAGAATTATTGGACCTTCAAGTCATTAAACAATGTTCATCAACTGCTGCATTAATCTGAGATTGCCTTTCTCTGACATATGTGCAGTTACCAATTTTCAGTGAACTCTTCTGGTTGTTTGAATGAGAGGTTCCCCATAGTCTTGGGCACTTGAATACAGTTGACAGCATTGTTTGGGGAGGCTTGGGAGGTATTGCCTTGTTAGAGGAAGTGTATGGGTGGAAGTGAGCTTTGAGAGTTTCAAGATTCCAGTCATTTCTGTTTTTTTCACTCTCTGCTTCCTGCTGTATTTCAAGACATGAACCCTTACCTTTTTACTTCTGCCACCACACCATCACTCTGTCACCATGCCATCTAACCCTCTGTAAGAAAACATTCAAACAAACTCTAAGTTTCATTGGACATGGTGTTTTATCACAGCAGTAAAAAAGTTACTAACACAGCTTCTCTTTACAAATTTCCTTTTATAATAACTAAGATTACATATACTCAAAGTAAGATATTGTATAATATTGTTTATATACTTTTGTGTACGTGTGTGTGTGTGTGTGTGTGTGTGTATGTGTGTGTTAAATCTTGTGCCTATATATGTACCAATTTCTAGGAGAAGCAATGAAATTTTATGATGAGACACTCTGTACCATATTGCAACCTATGGTTGTAACTAAGTTCATGGCATATATTTGAATATTTCTCTGATGGAAAATTCAATAATATTAAAGAATTAGTGTGGTGGTATTGTGTTTCCCAAAATATTATACACGCTAATAAACTTATCTGGGGTCAGAGACAGAACAGCCACAATATTAAACATGAGGACAGGCAGTGGTAGCACATGCCTTTAATTCTAGCATTCCAGAAGCGGAAATCCATGTGTTCAAGGATACAGCCAAGCATGGTGACTCACACCTTTAATCCCAGAAAGCGAGCCTTAAATCCCAGGGAGTGGTGGTAGAAAGCAGAAAGGTTTATAAGACATGAAGACCAAAAACTGGAAGCATTTGGATGGTTAAGCATTTGGCTGGTTAAGCTTTCAGGCTTCTAGCAGCACAGTTCATCTGAGAGCCATTCTGGATGAGGACTCAGAGGCCTCCAGTCTGAGGAAACAAGACCAGCTAAGAATGCAGCGAGGTGAGGTAGCTGTGGCTTGCTCTGGCTCTCTGATCTTCCAGTTTACCCCAATACCTGGCCTGGGTTTGATTTTATATATAAGAACTTTTTAAAATTCATGCTACAAATGAGAAATAAATGGAGTGGAGAGAATGAGAGAAAGGATGAACAAAAAATCAAGAAGGAAGAAGGGAAGGACAGATGTAAGAAAGAAAGGAAACATAGAGAGATTCTGGTGGTGAAATCAGCAAAAAACAAGAGAATTTGTAATGTTTCCATTCTAAAGATTGTTTCTATTTTTGAAAGTAACTTTTTAAACTGTAAAATGAAAGCCCTGCATTATGTAGTTTTCTGTTCAGATAAAACACAGTGGTAAGACCATTCTCATGCCTATGTAATCTTTCATTTATTTTCCATTTTCCATTTAACTTTTTTTCATACAATATATTTTGATAATGTTCCCCCCTTCAACTCCTTTCAGGGTCCCCTCACTTCCCTGCTCACCCAACTTTATGTTCACGCACTCTTTAATGCTTTATAATGATGCTTTTTTTCTGCTTATCCCCAAAGCAGTACCCTTCAAAATCAGCATAGTTTCTGAGGACAGGTTGACTAATTCAAACAATTGTTTTCTGTTATGGTCCTTCAGTATATAATTCCCCTTGTCACCTCCTCGTCATTGTCATCAATGTTATGACAACTTAAAGCTGTTAATATCTCATGAAGTCCCTACCTTAACTTTCTGGTATATACAAAACTGTACAACATATCATTTTGCATCTCTCTACAAACTGGTTATGTTGTTGGTGCAGCCTCCTTCCTCATGTGCACATTTTATTCTCTGTCTTTTAAAAATTGATTTATTTAAGTTGCTTTATTTATTAATAGGATTTAAAATCCAAATGTGACTATTGTGACACATAAATACCATTTCATTAATCTAATGCCAAAGAAATAATAAAGCTGTACATTTTTCTTGGGGTCTGTTGTTCTGGAAAAATCAATAGAGACAGAAAGAATCTTAAGAAAAAAAACAACAAAAAAACCATTAATCTGTTATTGCTGCAAATTCTCTTTTTGAAAAGCTTTGGGCTCATTAATTTCCCAGTAATTATTTGGTGAACATAATTCAACATCAGAAAAGTCTTCTTATTATCTGATCCTGTATCACCTATTTTGAACATTTCCTTAATATATGGGCAGAGAAAAGATCAGCAGTTAAAAAACAACAGATGTGAGCGGAGCACTCCTTTACTTGGTAATCATCCCTCAGCAATTCTGTAATTTTGGTTAGTGGTATCAGACAAGGACATCTACAGAGTTTAATATTACGAAGTAATAAACATATACTTTCTTAACAACAATTTCATAATTTTAATTTGCACTTTTGAAGAGATAATTACTTCTTTGATCTTTTAAAAATTTATATTGATACATTTGGTAGAGGCATGTCCAAGCCCCTCCACCTGCCTCAAGGCTGTGTGAGGGAATGAGGGTGTGGGTTTGGGGGGAGGCTGGAGGGGCAGGATGAGGGAAGAGGGGGATCTTTGATTGATATGTGAAAAGAATAAGAAATTTTTCTTAATAAAAAATTACATTGATTATTTTATTTGATAATTTCCCACATGTATACAATGTATTCTGGTTACTCCTTCATCCCCCATCCTCTTTTATCTTCATCCAATTACTATCAAATCCCCTTCCTCATTCATCATCAAGTTTTTCCAAGATTCTCGACATCTGATTTTTTTTATTTTGTTACTAAGAAATTTTTATGCATATATATATATACATACCAATCACAGATCCCCCTCTTCACTACTCCTCCCCCAAAATCCCCCCCAACCCACCACCCATTACCTACTACAAGAAGGTGAGACCTCCTATGGGGAGTCAGCAAATCCTGGCACATTCAGCTGAGGCAAGTCCAAGCCTCTCCCCCTGCATCAAGGCTGTGCGAGGTGTCCCACCATAGGGAGTGGGCTCACTGGTTTTCTTTTTTTTAAGTCTTAAAAACAAATTTTTTTATTTTTAATGCAAGTTTCCTTAAGGGTTAGCCCAGCATATATATATGTGTGTGTGTGTGTATCTGTGTGTGTGTGTGTGTATCTGTGTGTGTGTGATTTAATGAATGGATTATGATATTAAATGATTTATGATTTAAGATTGTATAATAAACAGCTATTTGGATAGTAGAACTCTTGATATGTGGGGGATAGTATGGAATTCTCTAAAGAATCAGTTAGCTCTTGGGAAAATGTACAGCTATGTATACTATGATTGATTGATTGTTTCTCTCAGTGTCTATGCTACTGGTGTTATATTTAGGAAGTGATCTCCTATGCCAATGTGTTCAAAACTACTTCCTACTTTCTCTTCTATCAGGTTCAGAGTAACTGGACCCTGTTCCAAGTAGACCCTAGATCTTAATGTGTGTTCATGTGTCCATGTCTAGAAATATGACACAGAGAGGGGGAAATCATAAATGGGACAAAGAGAAGAGGATAAGAGAATATATGTGGTATGAAAGTAGAAGCAAATTACTAAGAGGAAGGGGGCACCAACACATAGTAGGCAGGAGAACAGAGGAAGTGAGTAGAGCAGGAATAGAAAGAACAAAATACATATGAAAATGCCAGAATGAAGTCCACTACCTTGTCTGCTAGCTTTAAAAAATAAATAAAATGAAAGTTTAACTATAGTTTTATTGTTATGGAATATTATTTTAACTAGGCATGTCTATCTGTACAGTAAATGAACCTGATTCTTACTCAGTGATGTAGAACACTGTTAGAAACATAGCACACTTGATTCTTTACCTCTGATGGATAATTCTGTTTTTTTTCTTGCATTTTTCTGTGTACATTCCTCTGTAGGCCTGATATCAATAAAATGGGAACTTGTCACATGAACTTGCTCTTCAGTTTCATAAACATAGCAAATGATCCTCACACTGATTACGTTTGTTCAAATTCTCATCACAATGTTCCCTTACAGAGTACTAATAAACACTTCATTTTCCCTTTCTTTTTATTTCTCTTTTGATGTGGAGACACACTATATAGCCCTGGCTGGCCTAAAAATCCCTGTGTAGATCAAATTCATGGAACTCTGCTTGCTTCTGCCTCCTAAGTGATGAGATTAAAGGCAAGCACCACCATATCTGCTCATCTTTCCATTGTTACAGATTTACTGGCTTTTTTGCTATTTTTTATAAGCAAGACTGCACAATGCAGAAATCAGCCTTTTTCTTAGGTTGGACATGTGCATAGATCTTACACTTTGTTTAATTTTGTCATAAAGAAAATATCAATTTTACATGGGTTAAATTTACTAGTTTTACGTCTAATAATGAATAATGTATATTTTGTAAAATAGCCTATTTAGAGCAATATTCCAAAATTTTATGTCACATGTATCTGTTTCATTGTAACCAAAAGTACTGCTCCAATTTAAATTTACACATTATTTGAATTAACCTTGGATCCAAATTACATTTTAACAATAAACTTTAAATTCTGCTAAAATTAGTTGGAATGGAAATAATTCTCTACCTTTATTATTTATTCATAAAATTGTCCTGACTTCGCATGTATGTTAATTTTTCATTTTAACACTTGAATCAATTTATGATAATCTGAAAAGGAATCATGGCCTTTTGTTACGTTTTAAGGAATACATTAAATATTTACATTAGTTTATCTTTGAATTGAATTTCTATCAAAACAATGTTGAATCTTCACTTCTATGGCAGAGATGGCTCAGAAAGTAAAAGCAGTTGCTGTCAAGCCTGATGTCAATACCTGGAACACATAGGGTAAAAGGAAAGAACTAATTCTCATGATCTATACACTCATGCCATGCCACATGACACTTGCCCATATGTAATACATGCACATGAATAAAGTAAATTAAAGAAATATTTTATTGATTCCTGTTTTAAGTGCATCACAAATTTACAAAAAAATTACTTGATAATTCATATTTTTGTTAACTTATTCCCATTAACATAGTTGCTCTTCTTGCTATCATACATAGGATATCATTTTCTAATTATCAAGTTAACATTATTACTATCAAATAAGGGAAGCTTATTATGCATATTTTAGTCAAGTATGTTACTTTATTTTTTTCCTTTTTATTTATTTATTTTGTTTTCACAACCTGACCAAAGTTTTTTCTCCCTCCGATCCTCCCAGTTCCCCCCCTCCATCTCCCCATCCACTCTTCTGCCTCTGTTTCTCTTCAGAAA